ACGTTTGAGACGCGACCTGCCATCCGCTTGTCTTCTCTCATTTTCTGCGTCTCGACAGCTTAAGCGCGCAGTATTTATAACAGCCCTCGGTGTTTGCTTTTTCCTTTTATTTTCTACTCGTCGCCGCAAGTGCACTGCCTAGACGCGCTCATCGCATTGCCGTCTGCAACCAGCACAATCTCGGGCGGAGAGTTGCATCGTGGGTGGTGCTCGCTCGTTATTGTAAAAGCCAAGCAACATGGCCAAGCCCCCGTGGGACTGGTCACAATTCAACACCCGTAACAACCTGAATTCATATATCATTCTACTTGTTCAACTCCTCCGCTCGCTTCAGTTCCTTCGACGAGACTGCCGAGCGTCATCCACTGGCACCATAAAAATATACTAAATTTACTTACCAATGGTTGCTCCAAATTACTTGACTCATCATCCAGCACATGAGGTCCTTTGCCCAGTGCCGCTGCGCCAGACCTGCATACGCAGATTCCCCTGCTGGAGATCGGCCGGATTATTCGTCTTCTATAACCTCTTTCATGAGAATTCCATGATGAAATATGCGATATAAATAACGACAACAAACGTCGTCCACGGAAACACCGAAAATCCGCTGACGTCGCTCTAATCGCCCCATGTGACGACTTACCGCTGGGTGAGGAGAATACTAAACGTAGGCTCTTGTTGCTGGTTATCACTCGAGTTGTTCTGGCTGGACATCGTTGAGTGCAAGTTTGGGCGAGTTCAAGATTGATCCTCTCAGATGACGCACTCTCTCCAGTCAATCGATGGTGATATAGCGGTTACTATACACAAAACCTGCTATGCTGGTGGTGGTGTTGGTGCTTTCAGGTATCGATCTCCATCTTCCACCAAGTTGCCACCCAAATTGTCTGGCAGAGCCAGCGTTCGGTCGTCGATATCCTTGAGCATCTTGCCTCCAAACATCACCGGTCCATTCAACTTTCTAAACTCGGCAATCCGCGCCTCGACTTCTGGTCGGAAATGGCGCATCAGACCCTGGATTGGCCATGGTGCGTCGCCTAGAGCGCAAATGGTACGTCCTTCGACTTGTTTGCTATACCAAACGTTAGAATAGTTCTGGCTGAAAGAAAAGTATGACATACGTAATCTCCAACAGCATGTCAATCCGCTGGTGCGCTTGTCCTCGACCAGTCGGTTCATCATGTTCATCATCCATGTCGTGCCCTCTCTGCACGGTGTACATTGTCCGCAAGACTCGTGTTTATAAAACTAGTCGAGGTGAGCAAATACTGAGGAAAATTAAGAGAGAGCAGACCTTTGAGAAGCGCGCAATGGCTGCAACGACGTCTGTGCTCTGTTCATCACAATAACAGCACCCGTTCCAAGTCCAGACTGAGCATCCTTGAGCGAGTCATAGTCCATCCTAACTCCCCGGCCGATACAATCACGGCCAAAGATTAGACACCTCACAAGACTTCGCTGCACTTGTTAATGGGCAGAATTGGTACCGAACTACTCTCCTGAACGATACCCAAGAGATTATCTCATCCACCAATGACCTTCCACAATGCTTTTCAATCAAATCCTTGAGCGGGATACTCATCTCCTCTTCGACGACACACGGATTGTTCACGTGACCCGAGATGCAAAACAACTTGGTACCCTGGTTCCTCTCACGACCAAACGACGCAAACCAAGGCGCACCCCTTCGACAAATTGTCGGCGCGACCGCAACCGTCTCGACGTTTGCCACCGTCGACGGACACCCAAAGAGACCGACATCAGCCGGGAACGGCGGCTTGAGACGGGTTTGCTTTGCTTGCCCTCGATACTCTCGATGAGCGCCGTCTCTCGCCACAAATGTATGCAGCCCCACGGTGAACATAGATATCAAAATCGTATCCGGAACCGCATGCGTTTTTGCCAATCAAGCCTCTTTGTATGCCTCGTCAATCGCTTGTTGCACACGTTGGGCCTCGAGGTAGAATTCGCCACGGATGTAGATATAGGCTGCGTTGGCATTCATCACGTCCTGCGACGAGACATCCTCGACGAGCTTGCAGTGGTCTCCCTGCATGATTTCGCGGTCCTTGCATGTTCCAGGTTCGCCCTCGTCTGCGTTCACAACCAGGTAGCGAGGTCTAAAAGAATATCAGAGATGCTGTTATAAAAGTAAGAATGCATACCGTTTGTCCGCCTGCCAGTTTGGCTTATTCATAAAGCTCCATTTCAAGCCACTAGGAACCCAGCCCTCCACGGCCACGGAGACCAGAATCCTTGATAGTCTGAATAATCCAATTATCCCCTTTAACAAAATGTCCTTTGTGCGGTGCCAATCTCCTCAGGACTGCAGAAAACAAAACACATCATGAGCAATTCGACAAAACGGGTGCGCTGCACAAAAGGCGAACCTTTGCACCCTTGATACCATGGTCATGTCGACAATATGCGTTTGTGAATATTCGATCCTGGTCCCGGAGGCCTCCATAGCGTCGGACGGGCGGGTGTCTTGCACAGTCGCAAATCCGCGTTGGCGGACGGCGTTTGTCGAGGCTCCTGGTGAGAAGAATGGTGAATAACAAAGTCTGTTATGCGTAGAATTAGACGGACTAGGTGCCGACGACGACGCTCTGCATGCTCTCAGCATGGCCGCTTCGACAGAGTTCAGCTCCGTTGGAATCAACCAATGACCTCGCGCCGATTCTCGACATGCTGCGTCGTCTTTGAGGAGTATAAACATGCATAAACGGGCTATTTTCACTTGATCGAATCTGTCGGAGGTTCGGACGGCGAGTCCTCGACATGCGTTCGCAGTCGTGCCGAACGACGACGTATATTGGACAAAAGTATCTGTAGAGAGTTGTACGTCATTAATAGATCCACTAAGCACGCTTATCATTCCGCAGGACTTCTCGCCGTTTGACACGGCGTGTCCGTCGCTGCGGCAAACCGCGTCTACAGTATAAAGTGCAAAGGAATCGACGACAGTTGGTCAAACATTACACCATGTTCTTTCAACACATCACCAGCGCCCCTTATCCTACCCAAATCACCATTGTCGGTGCTGGCATCGGCGGGGCTCATGCTCGCTCGTCTCCTCCAACAAGCCTCCATCGACGTTGTTGTCTATGAGCGTGAAAGGGCCATTACTTCACGCTCCCGTGGCTGTCTCGACATGCACGACGATGGTGGATAACTCGCGCTTCGCAAAGCAGGACTGTGGGAGCAGTTTCGAACGACATGTAGTTTTGAGCCCGACTTGATGATGTTGCGCGCCAAGGACGGGTCTCTTGCATTTTCAGAAGATCAGGTTCAACCCAGTGCCGCCACAGCGCCAAACAACCGTCCAGAGATTGGGAGACGAGAGTTGAGACAAATCATGATCGACTCTTTGTTGCCTGGGACAATCAAATGGGGTCATATGCTCAAAGCGGCCGAGCGTGCGCCAGAAGGAGAAGAAGGGTACGCTTGCTCGCTCACGTTTGAACGCGACGAGTCGGATGGAACCAAGGAGACGGTGATTGTTCGACCGCAGTTTGTCGTCGTGCAGATGGGACCTGGCACGCATCCGACCTCTGCTCACGGCCGTCAAGCCAGAATACAGTGGCGTTTCGGTGGGAGATGGAGATTGTCAACGTCGAAAAGGCACACCCAACGGTGGCCGGGTTTGTCCGTGGGGGACATATGATGGGACTCGGGGACAGCAAGGCCATTATTACCCAACATAATGCCGGCGATATTGTCAAAGTGTATGCAGCCTATCGTGCGCCAGAAACGTGGCTGGGGGAACAGGATATCACTACAAGTGGCGATCCAGAGGCGGTCCGAGGGCGGATATTGAAGACGTTTGATGGATGGTCCGAGCAACTGTTGGAGATTATACGGGCCGTTGAACCAAACTTTGTCGTGAGGCCACTTATGACACTCGATCCCGATCTGACATGGCAACGACGCGTGGGATCACGCTTTTGGGATGCAGCGCATGTCATGACGCCGTTTGCGGGCGAGGGGCCAACCAGGCGCTTCTGGATGCGGTTGACCTGGGAGAAGTGCTGGTTTCTGTGCTCAAGGGACGCAAGGAGCGCTCCTCGAGCGGGCTATAGCAGGGTATGAATGCAAGATGCAAGGGGCGCGCAAGGCGTCGATAGAGTCGATGTACAACATGGATCTATTTATCGCAGAGGATGCGCCCAAACGAGCGCGTAGAACGGATGCGGCTTTCCTCACTGTGGCCTCCTCGACCACTGATTTTCTTCCGGGCGCTGTACGGGCTGTATATGTCTTCGTAGAGAGAATATAGAAATAATGATATGACGTCTGAAATATTATCGGAAGATGGGTGGTGATCGATTGATGCAACCAGCGCGCCCCTTACTCGCTACGCCTCGTCGTCGTCTCGACTTCCCAGCTGTCTGGCCCGGGGGGTCATGTGGCCTGTGCGCCCTTTTCCTGTCCTTTTTTCTTTTGAATGCCCTACGCGATGTCTCAATTCCGACTTCCATCACCAAACTTTTTTTTTTCAATTATCCCACCATCTGTCATCCTGCCATTTTTTCTTTCTTTTCTATTTATTTGGTTTGTCACCGAGTGGCCGCCCTGCGACATCTCGCCATCTCTCTCTTGCTCCTCCGCGTCTGGCTGCTTGCTCCTGCCCGCCGCTCGCTGTCAGTAGCACATTTTCTCGCAGTTTTCTCTACGCTCAACTCTGCGTTTTGTACGCCTTTGTTATCCTCTCTCGACGCTCGTCCGAGTCGACCCATTACGCCAGAGCCTAGTTCCCAACTCGTTAGTGGCAGCGTCTATCCGTCTCTCCAGCTCATCCCCGTCATTTCTAGACTGTTATTGGCAGCTTCCCAGGCTCGTTTCTTCACCCATCCGCAGACGCGCAGCGCATCGCCCGCCTCGTCCAAATAAATTCAACAAGTGTCGATTGCTAACCAGCCGCTGCAGCCTCGCGTCTTGTCAGAGCCCATCTACGTAAAAAATTCCGTGTTGTGCATTTTATCCAGCGGCCGTCCTCGTTCTCGTTCATATCGTGAACTGGTCGCTCGCCAGTATTGGTGCTGCCCACCTGCCCTTTCCGGCCACCCTCGAAACGCCCTTACGTTTTCCCTCCCCAAAACCCGATCCAACAGAATATCATGTCACACAGCAGGACCCGTTCGGCCGGTTTTGCGTCCCAATCTGCACCCTCGTCCTCCTCGATCCGAGACGCTGCTGAGCGAAGAACGTCCCACAAGGGCAAGCGAGCAAAGGAATTGACGTGCGAAACTTGCGGAAAGGTCAGATCCCAATCTCCCTCGGCTGCCATCAATGTCGTAAATCACATCATACTCACATAATCCAATTTTTGACAGGTTTACAAGGCATGTCGTTGACTGTTTGACCCCTGGCCAACCCGTTTCACGCTTTTCCAATAGCACCCCGTTTGTCTTCAGAAACACCGATGGGAACATAATCCACTCTGGAGGATACGCCCAGTTGCTCTTGAGCAAACACCAACAAGTTCAGGTCATGGAAGCCGCCGCGATCCTCGTCCACGGTTCTTCTTCTCCTCAAGATAGAGCACTCTGGCTGCTACATGTCCGGCGGTGCCTTGGCCTCTCCTCGCTCGAGCACTGAAGAAAAGCCTTCCTCTGCCGACACTTACGGCGCCCGCTCGCCGGCATCGACCACGCGATTCGGCGCAAACTCATCTCAGTTTGATGACGAAGAGCTCGAAGATGTTTCAGAGCAAGACGAAGAGGCGGACCAGGCGAGAATACCGACGAGAGCGACGAACCCGCGATGAGCGTCGTCGATTCTACCTTGAGTCCTGGACGTACCCGCAGCCATTCGACGGGTGTTCAAACCCACATGCCCCATCTCCGTGCATCATATGGAGGACACCCAAACACATATGGATGGGGAGTCATTGCCGAATCCGGACAGCACAATGCCTTCTCGGGCAGCGTTGGCACAAAGTCTCCAACTTCTGAGTAGGTTTATTTCATTGTTTTACGCCAAATTTTTCCAATTGACAATATCCTATAGGATGGCTCGCAGCCCAATGGCCATCCCAAATGGAAATGTCGAGGGTGCATATCATCCCTCTTCCTTTAGTCGCCCAACGCATTACCAGCACCAATCCATGTCGTCCTTTGGCTCTTTTACGCATTCTTTCAGCTCTGCCTCTGCATCGTCCTATATTCCCAGCTCGTCCATGCGTAGCCGCGACGGATTGGCAGACGAAGAGGACCCTAAGCAGATGGAAGACATGGACGACGAGGATATCTACGACTATAGCCATTCCGCTCGCACATCAAGCCTTTACACCCGTCTCACGTCAGTGGCAAAGGCCCTGCCTCCAGAATGGCTTACACGCGCGGAGGTGGACAGCACGTCAGGTTTGCCTCGAGTGGCAAATCTGTCTCGCCCGATCGAGCAGGATGAGGACATGTATACCATGGACATGGATTGATTTTCCATTCAACGGGACGAGGATACCTACTCGAGTTCTTTCCCCTTTTGACTTTTCGTCTGTCGAGTTCAGCACCGTCGATACCCTCCACTCGACTTGCTTCTTCTTCAATGGGCTGTCCAACCAGCCCGCAATTCGACCTTGGATCATCCCCTTCTTCCTCCACCCACCACATCACACACACGACCAACGGACACTCTTACGGGACATATTCCCACATCTTGCAGGCGCACACGCACGCACACCGAAGCCCACCACCACCACATTCGCCTTTCCCGAAATGAACCCCATGTCCACCAGACCAACCCGTCTAACTAGGTTAGTCCGGACGCCCTTCACCGCCAGCGAAGTCGAAACGACCAAATCTCGCTTGGAAACACGCCGTACGCACGCCCGTACGTGTAGGGCCGCACACGACGTTTGTCGCGGCACTTTTTTTGTATCACCAATTCTTTTCATGCAGCCTCCTCGCCAGTCTCGTTCATTTCGTCGTTTTCTCTCTGGATCTCACACTCTCGTCTCTCTGGGCTCCGCTTTGGCATGGTCGAACCCCCCCTCCTCGGACTCGTCGGATGTTCTTCTTTGCAATTTGATTTGTGGCAAAGACCTAGGCGTCTCCGGGGTCAGGTGGCCAACTTGTCGATTCCAAATTTCCTTGGCGCCCATTCGTGATTTCCGTTACTTAACTCTGCTCTCTCTCTCTCTCTCTCTGACATGGACATGACACTCTTGTGTACCACCACGATCATTGCTGCCTTCTTCCCTCTCGTCGCGATAGTGCCGCTTGTCGGGAAGATGACGCTGGGCGATGCTCAGTTTTCTTGCCTTCTCCCGGAAGTTGAATTGTATCCTGTATAGTAGCGAGTAGAAGTCAAAGAAGTCAAATCAAAAGACACTATCTACGAACATTATCAGATGAAATTTGACGCCTGACTACATAATTAGTTAATTCGTGTAAGGAAAAGGCAGGTTTCTAGACCGTTGAAGGCTGATTGCAATTGAGCGGGAACCCGGCGAGAAGTGTCTATAAACGGTGACCATCTGTCATCCATAACCTGGGGTCCTCCACAGATGAATGAGAATAGTTTGGCGTATGGCGTGCCATTGACAAAGGCTCAGCCCTTGACCCTGCTCTTCTAGCGGGGTGGGCGGATAAACATTAATCGCAGACACGCTCCAGCTGTCCAAAAACATGATGTAAAGCGTCAAGACTTGGTATTGGAATTCCAAAGATACCGATCTGACCCTAGAGAAGAGAACCCATAGGACGATCAGCAAACGCACACAAATCCAGACCGCGTGCTCACCCTTATACAGCCATCATGATGACCTCTTACACCCCTCGTTTTCTATTGCTGCGCCCCCCGTCAAGAAGGGCCCCTTGATTGCCTGTGGAGACGTCAAACTGGTGTACCAGCACCTGCGCACCTGATTTACGGTGATGCACAGTCCGCTTAGACATTGATGCCGGCGTATCGTGCGTGTTCCTCGCGGCATATGGACGGAAAGTACGAGCTAGCGTGCGGATAAGACGCAACGGACGGACACGGCGAGGTAGAGGCACACCAATGGGCAGGTTCTCGAGCTCCGTCATTGAAATCGAGTAGAATTATTGTTCCTCTGTAATCGGTTGGATGGGCAGTGGGTTTGGGTAGGGCCACGGACACATCCCGCGCGCCCGAGTATAGATCAATATGAATTCACTACTGAAATCAACGTGGTGCATTTTGTTTCGATTCCATCAATAAATTGCTTGGGAAGTGCTTCGACCTGACATTTTCGGGGGTCTTGGGCAGTTTGCTCGCGCCTTTGCCTTGATAATGGACAGTTTAATGAAGTGATGAGACGCAGCGATTGAGTAGTGTGCCTTTTCGGCGAGGTGGCGACGAGGTAAATTGCGTCAGGCTTGCACCCGTCAATACAGTCAGTGCTTGAGGAAGGTGGTAAGAATTCAAGACGTCACAACCATACAAAGATTGCTATATTGCATATTTGAGAATTAAAGCGTCAACTAAGAACACGTACCTTGGCCGATAGTCCCGTGGGCGTCAGGATGATTTGAGAGCTCGCGATGCAACCTGTCTGCAATCAAATTTATATGATGTCAATCACAGCGGATACACACATGGTGGGAAGCAGTTGAGCGCCATAGGCGGGGGTGTGACATTTGACTTGGGGTGACAATGCGAGCGCTGGTGATCTCTCCAAGATTCGGATCTTTCAAGAAACCCCAATCATAAAGAGTGAGGCTGGTGTTTTTTTTTTCTTGCGTTTTCGGTGGGCTACACTCGAACTTGGCGAAGCAAGCTCGACCCGATCTGGTCACTCGCTCCCCACACGAATGCATGTCAGAATTTTAGAAGAGGCGAGGTTGGTAATACTGAAAGACCGTATTATAGCCACTACCACGGATTCCAGGGGAAAGGGTCGCCCGATAGAATAGGTGGAAGAGTCACACCATACCAGAGGAACGGTGGTCATATTCAACCTGCTTTTGTGGTGGTTTGACCTCGGCATCTCCGTACAAGATGCATAGAGCGCATTCTCGAACATTGCCGCGGCCGTCGGCAAGTCACCCATTATTGACCCAGCATAGTACCTGAGATCAAGGGCGCTGGTAAGCTAGTCAACGCTTGCCTCTCGCGACCACACTCGTATCCACTCGACGGGCCAATCTCGCCGCTCGTGCGGAAGAGCGACTCGTGTCTTGTCGTAAGCGATGTATACGCCATAATCGATTCGCTCGAGCTTTGTTTGAACCGCAAGAGCTTGACGAACTCTATGCAGATTCACGAGGATCGCGTTCTTGCGTGCCGGATTTGCGGGAGCTTTGGAAGAGAGGAGGAGCCGTTTCAAAAACGGAATTCCTGGTTTCATTTGGGACCCTCCGGTGAGGAATTGGGTGAGCTTGTCGTTGATGACATGTTCAGGTCTCGTTGATGTAATCTGTACCTCCTCCAGCCGTGATGACAGCTGCATCAAAATCTGCACCAACTGTGCTTCGGTACAGCTCCTGTCGATGTAGAGTATCTTGGGCGTTAGACCCTTTAAAATGAACGGTCTGCCATGTACCGTAGGCTGTAGCAAAAGCCCTTCGATGCTGAGATACTGAAGCCGAGGAGCATACAACCTTTCCACCTCTAGAGGATTCACGCACAGATACAGGTGCGTCAAGGAAGGAAATGGAGGAATCATTGCGTTAACCGCCAGCCACGAGCGAGTGTAGAGTGTCAAATGGGTGAGAGATTCGTACACTTGAGGATCAAAAAGGCAAAGTTGAATGTGTTTGCTAGTGTAAGTTGTCGTAGGGCTATATCCGTCGGCAGAAGTACCTTGTTCCCTCCATGACTGACGGCAACCTCCAGCTGGTCTAGGGACTGGCTTTCGAGAGGTCGAGATTGCCATCGGTCTCTACCAAGCAGCGCAGCCGCTCCACGATGCCTGGATACGTAGGCAAACGCGACACGCTCCAATCCGAGGAGCCCCGTCCCATCACGAGACTCGAGCCGGAATGCAGTCTTTTCCAGCTGCTCGAAGAGCTTTCATCTCGAACGCAATCGGTCCTACAACGCCTTGTAGGACAAGCCGTTCCAATGCGACGAAATTTGCTGTATAGAAGAGTCTCAATAGCTGGTCTCCTCCGGAGAGTGCCGAAACACTCCTCATGGTCAGCGAGTGGCATCTGGACACCCAGTCTGACGTAACATCCTTGGTGAATCCATCGATATCCACCTTGGAGAAGCTCAATCGACTCATCGAAATGGTCAGGTCGAGAGATGCTCTCCCTGCTCGCCGAATGGCCAGAGCAAACGTTTTCAGGCTGCAACATTGGATTCTATCTGGACTCTTGAAGTCTTCCGGTGGGACCAAGGTGACCTTGGCCCAGAGAGACGATGTTGATATTGCTGTCGAGTACCAGACTTTGCAGACATAGAGCAGATCAGTGGCGAGCACTTGTTGGACCACACATGGTAGAGGAAGACATCGCGGAGGACCCGAGAGGTATCCGGTCGATGGATGAACAACCAAAATCCATCAATTGACGGCTATGCAACGCAAGGCAAGCTGGGCCAGGTAACAGAGGATTCGAGATAGTTGTCACGTTTGACGAGCGTCGACTGATGGCGAAAAGTTGGAAGAATAATTTGGAAAATGTCTCTCGTCAGAAGGCGGTCACAAAATCCCAACGCTCAAAAGGGTCGAGAAAGAGTTGAGTTTGCCACCGAGTTTAGCAAAATGCACAATTTCAGGCGAGAAACGACTGTGATTTGTGGATACACAGAATACATAACATCCGTGGTAAAGGACTGGACACTCGCTTTGTGCAGCAATGATACAACACGCCGCAAGCAACGGAACCCAACCTGCTGACTGCTAGGAAACGTTAAATAAGGCACGTGATGGACTAAGAGTACTTTCCTCTTTTTAGAGGGAAGAAGCGCCTGGAGGATACGGGGATGGCAGCACCGACGGGGCTCGATTGACTGGAAGTAATCCTGCGCAAAATTAACCAGAGTTCAAAAGTATAACACATAAAACTTACTCCCCACCATGGTCCTGTTCGCCGAAGAAAGGTCCAGTAAGTAAAGATTCCCTGTGAACTGCTTTCCTACTCACCAGCAGCCCACCAGAGGGCGCCTTGAACAAATCTCAGCACCAATTAATATGAGACCGGGTAACAACTCACCAATCCAGGTTCCACCTGCTGCTGCAAGTGGCAGAGAGCGCCCTTGACTGCGGCAATGCAAGCGTCGTTGCTTCCGGCGCCAATTTCTCCGAGGAAGCCCTTGAGATTGTTGGCCTTGAGCCAGTTCGTGGCTGCAGTAAGACGCTCGACACCAATGGTAGAAGAGACGCAAGTTGCGCTAGTACCTGCCGTCCGAGTCAAGATACTGATGCATCTCAATCGCAAAGTTGTTGGCCGGATCGGTAATGGACTTGAAGCGTCGCCGTTGCCAGAGGAGACCCAGGCTATGGTGATTATGAGAAAGGGCGGCACCGTTATTCACACTAGTACTTACTCCATGCACCACTCCAAGATGTACCCTCGACAAGAATAAGCTGCTTAGCTCCAGAGGCTCGAACACCATTGATTCCTGCCTGCATGAGAGCGGCGGCATCAGAAGCAGACATGTCGTGTGGCTCGTTGTTCAAATCAAAGATGACGTTTGCGTTTGAGCTCTACTGAATATGAGTTAAGAAGACTCCCTAGTACGGAGATACTGACAAATTCCGAGGCCATGTTCTTCCACCAAGTTTGGAACTGGGATGGGGTGATGATGGCGTTGTTGTATCTTGCAAAGTTGTGTGGGTCAAGAATGGCATATCCTCCTTTATTGGTGATGTAGTTGACGATGGTCTTGAGTCCGTTGAGATATGTCGAGTCGAAAGAGCCGCTAAGGCCAGTGGAGATTGGCGACATGCGCTCCATCAAGAATGCGATACGGAAGGTGTTCATACCCTTGCCTAGGACATGTCAGAAATTGCAGCCACTTGTCCACTAGAATCGCCCACGTACCCATGAAATAGTCCACAGAGGAGGGGCTTGGCCAAGTATAGTCCTTTAGACGTTAGTAAGTGTCGAGTCAGAGTTTTAGACCTACGGTACCCAGACTAAGGACGTCAGCAATAGAGTCGGCACAGCAGGTGGGGGACTTACACTCCCGGCCATTTCGTCTGTCCAAACTCGGCGGAGCTCTCGTTCACTAACGACGTCAATCCCGCTATTCGTTATGACTAAAAGCAAGGCTCACCTCCAAAGTACTTGAATTTGGTTCGGTTGCTGCAAGATCCACTACTGGAAGACGGCGTGCTTGAGGATGAAGACGAGGAACGAGAAGTGCTAGACGAGGAGCGGAGGTGCTAGACGAAGAACGCGTGCTAGACGTGCTCGTGGCTCGAGTTGAGCTAGAGGTAGTCCCTTCTGGCACTGGTAATACCCTATAGCGAGTTAACCTAAGCATTTATGAAGAGTATGGCCTACAGTCGTTGATATAAACACAGACAAGCCCACTATCGCAGGTCTTGGAGCCAGTATAGTTGATGCCTGCTGCTCTTCAGCGTTCCCTTTAGGACGATCATCGCCAACAAACCTCCACCTAAGGAGCGTCAGCCCATGCTTGAGCGGATAAAACTATAACCAACATTGCCCCCATTCACCAACTCCGAGGACTGGTGTAATGAGCGTGGCAAGAGCAGCAATCGCAACCGAAAGCCTCATTTTGAAGGAGGGAGGGCGAAGTTTGAGGTGGAGCCGTCCCGCAGCGTCCTCTTTAAAGCTGACCAGGCACAGTTGAGATAGTCCGTTTTTTATAGCCATCTACCGGTTGCATAAAAAGGAGGTTCCAACAATTCGTCGATCAATAACCGAGCATCCAGTCCGAATGACTGACGGGTAGATACCAGACGGAGTAGGAGTATTCTCAAGAGGTCTTCGTGACTGTTACAGAGACTTTCTACAGCCCGCATGCGAGAGCGCGGTCATAGTCCCATCGTGAAAACCAAGCGTAGTCGAGGAGCGTGACCGACAATTCAGCGAGAAGCAACGGTTGTCGCAGCCAGTCGGGTCATATGGCATCCTAGCATCGAGGACTTCGCACCGAAAAGACACCAATTTGCCACGGCGGAATCCAAGGGTGAAGACGATTCCGCGCGGACTTCACGGTCCGCCAATATACGATTTGCTGAATCAAAACCGCTTCTACTCTCCGAGGCCTGCAGAAAAGCTCACTTCTATGCAGTTCTGGCGAGTGTCCTATCGGACGTCATCCGTGGGCGGAAACAAGTGGTATATAGAGCCGTGTGCCACACATACATGTGAAAGGAATCGTCCTTGATATAACATCCTATTGGGTACTGGAATGAGTCTGATTTCTTGGGAGATTATGTCGGTCGTGACAGCAGATCCGTTGGGACAAATTAGATTTCTACACATAATCAATGGTGCCCAGTTCTAATCTGAAAGAACCTGATCTAATCATTGCGTAGTACCGAGTTGCAATGGAGAGCAGGAAAGTGGCACGTTGCATGTACTATAATGGCTGAGGTTTGCCTCAGTCCGGACATTCAAAGCGCACTCGATCGTATACCAGAGGATGAGCGTGCGTTGGTGAAGAGCGAGTCCTGCCCCCCAAGATCACGCCACCATGTCGAGGGACATTTGTTGGACTCCAAGTTTTCTGTCTCATTTTTTGTGAGAAGTACCACTTTGATACAGATAACATAGCTCCTTTTAGGAAGAGAGCTTAATATGCTCTTTCTCCAATACGCGCTCGCGAGAGTTCGCGTCTGGGATTACTTGTCAAATGATTTTGTGGCGACCCACAGATGCAACTAGATATGTACGTGTGGCACAGAAAAAGTAATCTCGAGCTATGCTCAGGCCAAACTCGAGGCCGGCTCATGCACCCAAGGGCAGTATTGAGCAACGCAGACAGACTGGGGATACGGAGGTGCTTGCCCCGTTTATCCTAGGGTACCGAGTATCGAGCTGGGCCCACCCCTCCATGCACCAAGTGCCCTCGTAGAAGCAGCACCCACCTGCATTCATACGGTACAACAGTAGTATCAACCATCTAGATCACTTGTCTATCAAGCGAATGAGCAAGGACATGCATTACTAAAAGATGGTCGAGATCGGGTCCAAGTTGCGTTTGACGGAGGGTGGACAAGAGGTGGATTTATAGGCCAGCCGGCTGCCGTTGCTGATTCGCCACTTCCATTGAGTATTCCTCCTCACGTTGCATTCAATGTAAGCTTCCTTATTTAACCAGTTTCCCTCCCTTCAAAGGAAATCCTGATATGGATACATTCAACCAGTGACAATTGTTCCGCGTCTAATCAGCCGAGGACGCTTTGATCCTAGAGCTCAATGAGGGCCAAGTGTCCAATACGGGATTTGATACGAAGAGGCCACCACTTGTCAATTCTTCGAGCCGACGGTTATGGCTACTTTCAAAGTACTCGATGTTCGTCGGCGAAAACCTATAGGCGTCTGTAGCTGCCCAATGGAGCGAAACCTGCGTCATGAGCTACGCAAATACCAGTAGACTGTCCTGATTAGGTAAGGATGCAAGCACACGACGCTCTTGAAATGAAAAACACCCAAGAGCAGGGTTGCTCCGTCTTTGGTGTCGACCCTCATCTAGCGGGGGAAAAAGATATACTACCACGAAGCCAGGAGGGTTGAGCTTCACTTAGAGCCAAACAGGTTCACAGCATTGCAGGAAACGAGAGTCGTTGCTCGTCGCATTTTGTCTAAAGGAATGTGACAAAGAGAGCGGGAATACGAGATGACACTGATAAATCCTCCATCCAGATTGATAACGATTGGGCCTAGGAGAGTCGTTGAGTACATGCTTCCAAACAATCCACACCTGACACACCGTTTATGCGAAAGGAAGCAGTGCTTCGGGAAGGATACGGGCGATGGCAGGACCCGACGGCGGCTCGATGGATTGGTAGTAATTCTGCAATATGGTAAGCAAATGTCGAAGATGAGTGATTAGTAACACTTACTCCCCACCATGGTCCTGTGAACAGAAAGCAGTACTCGTGAGTGGAAGAACCTGAAATTTTGAAGAACACTCACCAGCAGCCCACCAAGCAAAGCCTGAAACCGAGAAATTGGGTCAGCAATAGTCTTATCAAGGCACGCAAGGTACACACCGATCCAGACCTGTCAATGTGATCAGTACGAGATTCGATAAATATAGAGAAAAGCAAATACATCGGATGTTTGCATCAAGCAAAGCGCTCCGCGGATAGCAGAGATACAGTCGTTATTCGAACCGGCACCTGTTAGAATTTAATGAGCATCCCTCGACTAGACAATCGAAACACTAACCCAACTCTCCGATGAATCCCTTCTTGTTATTTGCCTTGAGCCAGTTGGTCGCAACTTGGAGACGTTCGGCACCGACGGTCGGGCTAACGCAAGTGGAGTTGGTTCCAGAACCATCAGTATCAAGATACTGGTGCATCTCGATGACAACGTTGTTCAATGGATCAGAAATAGTCTTGAAGGCGTCGCCGTTGCCCGAGGACTCCCAAGACCAAGCTCCAGTCCAGCTAGTTCCCTGGACGAAGACGGACTGGGTGGCACCAGCGGCGCGAACACCGTCGAGACCGGCTTGCATGAGTGCGGCGGCGTCCGTGGCAGGGATCCCCCATGGCTCGTTGTTCAAGTCAAAGATGACATGGTCATTGGTAAGGAATTCAGTGGCCATATTCTTCCACCACGTCTTGAATAGCGAGACATCCGTGATGACCGAGCCGTTGTAACGGGCATAGTTGTGAGGGTCAAGTGCGGCGTATCCACCCTTGCTGGTGATATAGTTGACAATAGTCTTCAATCCAGAGAGATATGCCGAGTCGAACGGGCCGGTGAGGCCAGTTGCGGGTGGCGACATGCGCTCCATCATAAAGGGGATACGGAAGAAGTTCATGCCCTTGCCTAGGGTACGTTAGCGTTCCAGACCACCAGAGCTGTAGACTGGATACTCACCCAAGAAGTAGTCTACAGACGATGGCGATGGCCAAGTATAATCCTTGTTCAACCTGAATGGCTTTCAGAGTCGCCCACCCACCAAACCGAGATTCACTCACGTTCCTGGGATTGCAGATCCAAACTCTGCGCTGCTTTCATTGACTATCGGGGATGTTAGGGGGGAAGTTGATTATAAACGGCCACAAACCTCCGAAGTACTTGAACTTCTTGGCACCGGGGCAGACATATGTCGATGTTGCGGACGTCGAAGAACTTGTACTGGACGTAGTCGTCGTCGAGATGCTTGTAGAAGTTGATTGAGAAGTCGAGGTAGAGCTGCTCGAGCTCAGGGTGCTCGTAGACGACGACAACGTAGTGCTCGTTGTACGTGTCGATGTCGATGTCGATGTCGACGTAGGAGAGTAGGGAGGAGCGAGCTAGGTAGCATCAGTTTCACAGTTCGCGCCAAGGGAAATGAGCTACCTTGAGGCATTGGTAGTAGTCTACCCGAGCGTCATTATAGAATCAAAAGAAAGGGCCCAGAGTACTCACATTCACTAAGCTCGACGCAGACAAGTCCATCGTCGCACTTTCCAGTGGTCACCCCTCCGCCACCGCAGGTATCCCAGCGACTGATACCGAGTGCCTGGGGAAGTAGAGCAGCGATTGCTGCAAGAGAAAGGGAGAGCTTCATCGTTCACCAAACGGCCCGGGAGACTGAGGTTGTCGTCGTGTAGCGGCTTCATCGTCGATATTTATGCTTTCCATCCCTCCCAAGAGATTTCTCCACGCAAATACTCCGGTCGTTCACCGTCGATGCCGAGGTCGGAAAAAAGAAACTGTGTAGAAGACGCGCGTGTTTGCACGAAGAACCGTGCTGATAGCTGTCAGGGCCCTGCGTTTTATGCGAGATTTGTGGAGAGAAGCGTACCATGATGCAGTTTGTAATCACAATTCCCAGTATTCAGCCCTACCCGGCTTGGGACGACGGTCGACAGGTTAGTCCATGTCATTTGAAACACGGTGCGACAGATCCGCATGAATCTTGGCCGAATACATTGAGCCTTGATTCATCAAGTCGCATGAATACATTAACAATGGCCAATTGCTTCTCTTGAGGGTTACGGGATGGCTTCCGAACAACCACTCACCGACATTTGTGCGTCCGAGGAACCCACGCACATTCGGTAGCGAGAAACTAAGAGTGTGAGAGATACGGAAGTTTTGTGATGCCCATCGTACGTACCAGAACGATCGGCAAGGGATTCAAGCAAAACACAGATTATTCCGTACGCAAACCACGTGTTCATTTCGAGGATCATGCCGGGCGCAGCCGAACTCATGACTGCTGGTCAAGGTAGGATCTGGTGTGTTCGAATATTGTGGACTGAGCCTGGCTGGTATATGCTGATCTTTGAGCATAAGTAACTACCTTGTATTGTGAGGAGAGAGCCTTGCAGGGCCACCTGGTGGATTGTCAAGAGTCGTTTGCTCGAGCTATGGCCAGCATTAATTGTGCAAGGTCCAGGGAGACATAATAATTGAGTCCACGAGGCTTTTAGGTCAACGCATCGGATTCTGGTATACACGCGCCAACGAGGCGGGGTAAAGGTGTTGGTCCTTTTGGCGCGTTCCCTTCCAGGTCCATCTCAACTGGCCCCCAATTTTCAACAAACTATTCACGACAATTTTCAATTATTATTATCATGACCAACACGCACAAGAGCTTGCTGTTCTTGCCGCTTCTCCTTCTTGCACATGTCCTCGCTGTCACCGGCGCCGACGCAGAAGCACCAAATGCGCTTACAACGAATACAACATGCACTTATGATCACCTCGCACGCGCTCACACCTCGCCCGACCGTCGACAACGCTGGTGGTCCAAGTTGAGCGAGTTTCTGCTGCTGCATCTCCCCGGGGACGCCTATTCAGATGAACAAGGCTTCTTTAACGACCTACAACTTGCGCTGAACACAGTCCCACCTAGCCGCGCTGACGACCTGGACCCGGATGAGCTCTGCAGTCCGCGCCACCAGCTATTTCCACGCGATCAGCAGGTGCTGAAGACGAAATGCCGCGTAAAACCTGTTCATTACCATCCGGGATGGAACGGAGATATTCCAAATTATACCCCCACCGACTCCAACGGCAATCCACTCCCCACACAAACAATAGGAGATGGCCACGGTGGCTTTGGTCAAGAAATTATTGGTGTAAACACGAGATGCCCTTACAATAACGTTGGGCCTGGTGCTACCGGTATGTAGCCCTGCGTTTGCAGAGTTTTTGGCTCGCTAATCTTGGCTTTCTCTTAGTTGCTACCAACACGAGCACAGGCCCGAACGGCCAATTTACATGGCTAACATGTGGCCTCGATCCCAAGAATAACAGCATTGGGTGGACACCGCCCTATGCTACCGCCGACCAGGTCATCACCTTCCAAGGTGGGCTGCGTGCGGCTATTAAAGCCGAAGGAAGTCCCTACAAATCATGCGCCAAGTTTGTGGAGCTTTTCGAGACGGCCGGCGCCGAGTTCCAGGGTGTGCCACTTCCGAACCGCACTTTAGCGTCGCTAACTCCGCTCAGTTCCTCCACTGTTCATTGCCGCCTTTGCACTTCAAGAATCCGGTTGCAATCCTGATATTGATGGAGCCGGTGGAGAGCAAGGTATGATGCAAATCAGTCCGGTATGTATTTTCTTACTCGATGAGAATGTACCTGATATTCGAATAGGAAAAGTGCGATAAGGCGCCTGGAGGAAACTGCAAGGACGTTATTTACAATGTTCGAACCGCCGTCAAATACTTTAGCGACGTCTTGAAGTCTGTCAACGGCAACGTCTTCGAGGCAGTGGGACTTTACAACGGCTGGTCAGTCCCTTTCGATCAAGTCTTCGCTCTATCTGACACTTTCATTACAGGATACGTGGAATGTCATACAAGTACGTCTTGTCATCGCCTATAAAGGCTTTGTTGCTGACCAGAAACTCAGGGAGAGCACCACTTGGGGTATCAACGGCGATTGCTGTAGATGTCAGCGCAACCTGAGCTATCTTTCTCAATTCTTCAACGGCTGGCTCCAAAACATGGACGCCTGGGCGCTCATGCTGGGCTCGATCCACAACACGGCCGACTGTCCCGCTTGAAGAGGGACTAGTTGTTTCTCTTTCTATCTGGCTTATTATGCGTTACATCCTGTGTTTATATGATGCCGCCTTTCCTGATGGCAAGGGTTCACTTCTCTACCTACTGTTCTAATGGGCAAGTCCTCGTTCTAGACTTATTAAAGATGTGTTTCTATTCGCCAAATCTACTTGGTCCCGTTTGATGAATCCCCTGGCCGTAACGAAGTGGAGGGAAGGGTCTTACAGGCCTTCACCAGGCACAGTAATTGAAATGTCTGCACGATTTTCAACTAATATTTGGTTCCTTGTCAAACTGCGGCGGCTACCTCAAAGCCCCGCTCGAGTCTTTGTCCTAAAGTCTTTGTTCTCCTGGCTCGAGCTCACTGGCCTCACCTCCGACCTTGCGCTCCCAATGAATATAAGTGAACCTTGTCAGCTAATTGTACAGATTGACCGCAGCTTTTTGGCCTATCCTCCCCGGTTTCTTGACTTCAGCGCCGATGCCGAAGGGCGAGTCAAGCTTGCCGACCCTTCGCTCAACAATTCGGGGTTCTATCAGTATCGCTCAGTGCTTCTGCATACTAAGGAAGCTGCAATGCTGCCATTAGCTTTCATGGCACCCGACACTCTGGCTCGCCACATTCATCTGATTGGAAACATTGACGAACGTCTGGGCCACCTCACCCAATTCATTGAGTTTCGTTACACGCGACGGACGTAAACCAGTACGTTCTCCCTATCACTATGGATTGTACTGACACTCCCGAGACAACACCCTCCCGCTCGAACACGTTCAGTTTGGCTTCGAAGTCTACTCACCGCCGACCTTTTTTCCTGTAAGGCTATCTAATTTGCCACCTCAAGGTGCGCCGGGCCTCTTGATACCCCTGGACTTACTCTGACTGCCTGTAGGTGTTGCCGGCGCTGTCTGTATACCACGCGAGCATTCCAATGTCGCTTCACACGAGCCTCTGCGCTCCGTTTCACCGATCAGAGACGTTTATGTCACTCGTTATCCGTTGAATTTGCATGCATCTGTTGTTTCCAGGAGAGACGTTGCTCCCTTGAGTATTGTGAGTGCATCACCAGCTGAAACTTTATGTTCTTTGTCGAACAGCTTACTCCTATGCACCTGAGCACGAGCTCCAGCAGATCAAGGGAAAGAGGACTGAAGGCTCGGGCCCATAGTCTTAGTGCTTCTCCCAATCTCCGCCCGCGTGCTCTGTCTCCTCCTGGATCCAGATGGCGCGATTGCTTTTGTTTGTCATTTAGGTCTCTGATGAAATCTCCTATTTCGTTCACACCCCTTCTCCTTGTTCATTGCGAGCGTCTAAGGGTCCCGTGCGAGTTGTGTGTATAACGTATATTCCGCGATAAATCGTCGAGCTCAAAAGGACATAAATGTCAGGTGTCCGCCTGGAGGGCCCTTCAGTGATCTCATTCAGAGGGTTACCTGCGGCTTTAGTGTCGTCAATACCTCGTAGATTCCAGCTCTCCAACCCTGTAGCGAGCTCGAGAATGAACCCTTTGTCACAGAGAGTACCCTAACAGTCCTGCGAAGAAATGTATTCTAGGGACTTACTGCAATTTACTAAACATTGTCATGCGTGGGCGGCCGAGTACACTTGTGAGCTTTCTCGACCAGGCGCAAGTCTAACATGCTCCCAACAGGTCGGTAGCAGTGACATAAGTCGCGGATTCGTCAAATCAAGTATCATATTGACACATGTGTCTGGCACGGTTGGAAAGTGGCATCGACAGACGCTGTCCACATCTTGGAGCCATCGACCTTGAGGATGTCGACCCAAAAGTCAGCCAAGGACAATAAATGGCACAGATTTATGAATTTATTTGGTTCCTCATCTTCACATCCCCCGACAAGCAAGAAACGCCAAGTATACAACACGGCCAATGTCGGCCTCGACATAGTAGCCAATATTGCCGAGGGATCAGACATTCTCGCTCCTCTAAAGGCAGCTTGTCGAACAACAAAGTCAATTCTTGAAGTTGCGCAGGCACGTTGGCGAAACCGGCAAGGCATTTATCTGACAATACGATAGGCGACAGAGAACAACCAAGAGGAATGGACCGAGCTAACAGGACGTGTGAAAGGATACATGTCCACAATCGAGGAACAAATAGCGTTATTTGAGACATATCCTCCAGAAGACATGGCCGTTAACGAGGCGTTCAAACGGCCGCTCGCCCACTATGTCAAGTATGTGCACATTCCAAGTTTGCTTCGGTAGGCTGAGCGATGCAGATGCCTCGAAGACATGCACGATAAGGTTGTCAATCTAGAGGAGAAACGTCGCCTCGACAAGCATGCCTTTTCTAAAGCAATCATCAAAGTCAAAATTGATGCGGAGGAGATTCTTAAAATCAATCGGGATATCGAGGATCGGCATGGCCAATTCATGGTACGAGCCTTCATCCATCCTATTCACGAGTTCACTGCATACACAGGGTGCATTGGGACTTTTTACCGCATTGCGTATTCAAAGCGTCGAGCGGAATACCACGGTTATCAAGGCTGACGTTGAGGCCACCAAGGCAAACATGAAAACCGT